AGGTGGTTCTATCATATCAGATTATAATAATTATTATTATTATTATTATTGCCATTTATATAGCGCCAACAGATTCCGTAGATGACTTTATACAAATGTTTGTTGCATGTAATCTGTATTATGGGACAAAGTCTAGTCCCACCTTACATATTGGAAACAAGTATTGTTAAAGGGATACTATAAGTGCCAGAAATATAAAGCTGTATTCCTGGCACTATAGCCCCTCTTCCCCCTCCCTTGTGTACCCTACTCCCAGGTGAATAAAGGGTTTTTACATACCTTATCTCTTGGCCCTGGGTTATTGCTTCGCCTGCTCCAACGGCACTCGATGAGAGGGTGCTAATGTCCAGTTGGATGCAGGAAGTGCCTGTCTGGGCGCAGACTTAGAGCTGTAATGGAAACATTGCAGTTTCTCTGCAACTGGAATGTTTAACATTGCAGCACTACATGCAATAGGGACACTGCAACCAGACCACTTCAATGAGTGAAAGTGGTCTGGTTGCCTATAGTGTCCATTTAAAAGCACAAATCTTCCAGGTACAAACAGGGATACTTGGGGTACTTTTTTGAAACATATTTGGTGGTGACAAATTATGCAACTAAAATGTAATTTAGAACAACAATGTATCTTATTTACACAGACTGATTTCTAAAAACATTTATTGTAGTATAAAGACATAGTATTGTGACTATTATTGCTGTGGAGCTCCATTATACACTCAGAAACATCAACAATAAGGAGCTCTTAAAAAAAGAGGGCCAGTAGGATAGAAAAGAGGGACAGATGGATTTGGGCCCAAAAGAGGCACTATCCCTTCTGAAATAAGGACAATTGGTAGGGATGCTCTGTAACGGATCACCTGGCACCCCGACTGGGTACCTCCGTTGATGGATGCTCCTAGTACTTCCTGAGGGCTCCAAGCACTCCACTCGACACTATAAGCACTTCAGACCCCATGAACCACGGCAGCTTGGTTGGGGTCTCGCCGTCTCCTACCCACCCTGGACCTACAACAAGGCTCCAGGCTCCAGTGGGTGAACCTCTCTTCCTTCAGAGAGCAAAGCAGGAACAAGCTCTTAAAAGAGCTTAGTGATTATAGCCAGGGGAGTATACAGTGTATAGCAATCCCCAGTGTAGATGCAGCCTTTTCCCCCACACATGAGACGAGGCTCTATGTTGAGGGTAAAACAGGAACTCAGCAGTCTGAGGGTTTAATGGCACTTATATACAGATTTTCCCACACGGTTACCACCCACGTGGACCTTGTGGTACACAGGACACAAAGTTGTAAAAACCAATCAGCACAGACTTGTACATCTAGACAATCCCAAATACTGCACACACAACCTCCCCTCTGCTTGGGAGATAATTGAGCAAGATACTGTAGTAACTCAATTATCTCCAAGCAGAAAAAACACATTTTTATACATTTCTCATAACTTCAAAAGTATACATTCAATTCATTTTCCGAACGGGCATAATTATGGGAACAACATATTCAAAAATCAAAGCAATCAGTTCAGGGGTTCTGGAGATAGCTGGAAGTCATATATGACCGACCACAAGCATGGCTTTCCTGCCCAAAACAGTTTCACAGATTTGGACTGTGCGGCCGGTCTATTCCCCATAGTTCACATACTGTTCAAATGCAGTTCGAATGCACGAACGGGGGCCCTCCGTGCAAATAGGCAACGTTAAAGTGGCGTTCGAATTGTCGAACACCGTTCGACTCCCGCCGAAGTGTCAAAGTTCTAAAGAAGGTAAGGTTCAGCGGTGTTCGTGCCATCGCGTGTCCGATTTTAGTTCCATGAGCTCGACAGCAAAACACTGCTGACCGCGTTCGACTAAACAAAATGGCCTCCACCACGTGTTTGACTGTACGGATGGCGACCACCCAGCCGTTCGTCTATTAGCTTGCGGTTAACCACAGCTTCTGGGAGGTAAATTGGCCACACACTACACATGCAGGCGGTGCGGCTGTTCGGTAGTTTGTTCGGTAAATTCCGAACCACATAGTAAAAATACACAAACAAGTTTTTTTACAAGGGGAAAACAAAGTTTTAACACAGGGTCCATAATCACAAGGCAAGAGGCTGGCAAGCAGGCCTCTCCAAGCACAAGTGGCAAAGGGCACTTCATCACATGCTCTAAGCATCAAAACAACTTTAACTCAAAGGACCACTCCACACTTACAAAATAAACACCACAGTTTAATATATATACCCCCAATGAATACATTTATGCATATTGTTATGTATGTAATCCTTGGAAGTGTAGTCTAAAACAGTTTAAAAAGATGTGGTTCTTATGACGGCAGCCTTTGTAAGCCCTACCCTTTTTCACAGGAAGTGACTTTCAGTTACTTCACGGTGAATTGACCAATCAGAGGCTTCTCACAGGCACACGGCTTTCGACAACTGAGCCGTGTGTAACCTAGTGTAAAGTTTCACTAAACTTTGCCGGCAGACAGGATTTTTATTTGTGATTTGTAAAAGTACCTGTACATCACACATCTACAGGAATATAAAGTAAATACATATTTATTGTATATTATTAGATTATATATATATATATATAGTACATATCAATAGAGTTGTGGTGGGGAAAAAAAGTGTGGATGAAAACCTCTTCCATCTGAAGTAAGTGGATAGTTTATTTATTATTTATTACTGCTATTTATAAAGCGCCAACAGATTCCGCAGCGCTGTACAATTTGTGGAGAACGTACAATATACACAGACAAATACAAGAGGTCGAGAGTAAGCTGATAACTACACATTGGAGCTCTTTTATACAAAGTGCTTAGCTAGATGGCCCGTGAGCTTACAATCTAAAGGATACAATGGGGATTTGAGACAAGAGTTAGCAGGGGAAGTTTGGAGGTGATGGCTAAAAGAGTTAACAGAGAAGCAGCTATTGGTAAAATACGAATTGAGTGAGAATCTCAAACAGCTGGAGGAGCATGCTAAATATTTAGGGGAAGCCTGGGTGGGCCGGAGGGAGGGAGGGTGGGTGGGAAGTGTGGAGAAAAAATGCTGTGCTTCACTGAGTTTGAGTGTGAAGTGAGGCCTGAAGAACAGAGAAGTAGATTGAACAGTTATATGAAGGTATATACAAATGTATAGTTAATACATTGCTAAACACAAATGCACACACCAGTGAAGCCATAAGACTTGCTTTCCCACAGAAATCTTACTTTAACAGTGCTCTCACTACTGCAAGGGATTCTGGGTATATATATATATATATATATCAAACTCAGTGAAGCACAGCATTTTTTCTCCACACTTCCCACCCACCCTCCCTCCCTCTGGCCCACCCAGGCTTCCCCTAAATATTTAGCATGCTCCTCCATATATTATCTCTATCTGCATCTATATTTCTATCTCAATCTATATCTATCTCAATATATCTTTGTCTAACTATCTTTATTCATCTATATCTTTCTGTCTCATTAGCTGTATATATATCTATATTTATCTGTATAACTATATTTCTCAATCTATCTCAGTATTGATGTTTCTATAACTTTCTATAGATCTTTCTATCTATATCCATATAACTGTATATATCTATATTTATACCTCCATCTATAGCTATCTCTCTTTACATCTATCTAAAACTACATCAATCTAATCTATCTATCTATGTATCTATAATTTTTTCTCTATAGCTTTCTATCTCACAGACTGCAGGAGAGCAGAGAGTCTTGTGCAGCGGCAGTCAGGAGGAAGGAGGATGGGCTTGGAGCAGTCAGGAGGAAGAAGAAGGGTGGACTTCGAGCAGACAGGAGGAAGGAGGGTGGGCTTGGAGCAGGCAAGAGGAAGGAGTGCGGGCTGGCAGTCTAGAAGGTTGCAAGCAAGAGGAATGGAGGGCTAGAGGTCCCACTCGCATCCAAACCGGCACGTGGTAACATAAAAAAAAAAAACAACAATACAGGAAAAGTGGGATTGCAGGCGTGATCTAGAAGAACATGCCTGATACTTCCTTTAGCTCAATAGAGCTAACCGATGTAGGAATTGATATCCCCAGCTGTTTAATTGACCCATTCCTATTGTTAAAGATAAAAGTGCCAATTTCACAATTAAATTGGTACTTTTATAAATGGAACTTTTAAAAGGATACTCTATAGCCATACAGCATTTCAGCAAGCTGAAGTGCTGTTTGGCTCTGGAGTGGTCCTTTAATGAAGCAGTTGTAGTGTATAGATCATGCCCCTATGGCCTCTACCATTTAGGAATGTAATCACTTTTGTTTTTGTTTATGTAGCCCTACGCACACTACCCCTGTCAACATGAAAAATTGGTTTTGTTTTTATTAAGATATTATAGTTCAGTGTGCTTTCTTTAAAGGTTTTTATCTCCTGCTCTGTAAACTAAACATTAATCACGCACAGGAGGATCCTGTAGACTCTAGCAGGCGATCTAAACCAAACAGAATTTGCAATAAAGGAATTGTAAACATTAGATGACTCTTTACAGGAAGTGTTTAGGAAGGCTGTGCAATTCACATGCAGGATAGTATGGCTAGGGCCACATAAACAAAGTGACTTAACTCCTAAATATAAAAAGTAATAGTGGTGAGAGCACTCAAATAAATAAATAGATGAAGATATTACCAATGTTGGTATAAATATATACCTAAAAGGATACAAAACATAAAAAGATCATAGGGTAATACAGTTTACACTTATATACAAGTCTGTAAATAACTGGTCAAACTCACATGTTGCTGAGTCACTTAAAAAAGCTGACTCAGGCTATAGGTTTGTAGCAGAGATGAATCTAAATAAGGATGGACTTCTGCAACGGCCAGGATGAAGCCAAATTCGTCTAGAAGTACTCAGATCCAAGAATTCAGGATACAGGATCAAAGGTAAATAATTTTATTCAAACTTCCATTAAAAACGAATCACAGATAACATTCAGTCCATATAATATGCCCCTGACGCATTTCGGCGAAATGCCTTCTTCAAAGTGGTGTTGTTTGTCCATCTCTGCTAGTTCTGTTTATAAATCCAAATTTTGGCGCCTTCCTGGTGACTTCCGGTTTCTACTTTCGCATTCGTTATCTCTTTGCGTCCGACGTCATATTTACGCATCCTACGTCGTGACGTTATTACGACAATGTTACCCGGAAGTGCTTCGGACGCCATTTTGGAAAGTCCATTCCTATTACATACTTGCCAGTCCTTATACTCATTCATAATCTTAATACAATAGTGCAAACTTTTCAGCTATTTTCACATGAGTTCCCCTAATTTACAAGGGTGAAGGGAATAAGGAAAAGTAATTAGAAAGGAACAACATTAAAAAACAATATAAACGGTATAAAAACACTCGATTATAGTTTTAAAGTCATAGTGCAAATAATCAAAAGTATACCCAAAAATACCCCTAACTTACAAGGGTAGAGAAAATAAGGAGAAGGTAAGAAGAGAACAACAATAAAAAACGGTATAAAAAACATTTAAAATCAAAAAATCCTATAAAATATAAAAATATATAAATGTTAATAAATGAAATAAAAAAGAATACAAAAAACTGACATCAAAAATAGCTATATGCATGCATTAATTTCAAAATCTGCGTTTAAGCCATGAGGGAACAGTGTGTCCATATTGAAGATCCACCTCATTTCTGTTTTGCTAAGGAGGCTCTCAATTTCTCCTCCTCTCCAATGCGTTTTTACCCCCTCGATTCCCATAAATTCTAAACCATTGGCATTACCATTATGAACTTCCAAGAAATGTTTGGACACACTCTGCAGATTATATTTCCGATTAATATTGTAGATGTGTTCCCTAATTAGAATCTTTAAATTTCTGGAGGTCTTGTATTGGAATGTATTGGAAACCGCAGAGGCAAATAATCATATAAATAATATTTTTAGAATGAGAAGTTAAGAAAGATTTGTTACTCACTATTTATCACAAGGTGATAGTAGCACCTAACTTTCACTGGTTCCAACGAATTGTATGATTTTTGACTTAACTCCTAATTGGCAGAGAATTTAGCAGTGAGACTGCAGGGGCATGATCTATACACCTAAGCTGCTTTATTAAGCTAAAGTTGTTGTGATGTTTATAGTGTAATTTTAACACCCATTGTTTGCAGGACATAACAGTGCATACATTTTCATTAAGGGTTAATGTACTTGGTGGAAGCACATTGTATTTAGTTACATTAATATTCTAAATCTATCTTGGAAAGGGCACAGAAAAAGGACAATTTATAGCAACTGTGTGGGCTAAGCAGGTTTTCAATCTTCAGCTCCTGCAAATTTGTATGCTTCAAATTATATTACAAAAAAAATATGCAATCTACATTTTTTTCCATTGTATTTCCGATTTCATGCTTCTGTGCAAAATGTTCTGATTTTATAATAGTACAGCCCCGGTGAGGTGCATTTATGTAATGAAAATAAGTGTACTCTTTCTTTTTTACTGTGTTCTTTTAGGAATATTTAAAACGTCATTGATTGCACTCTTGTGAAATTATTTTCCTACCCTGAAATTACAATTAAGCTACGAAATGAAATATTCAACATTTCCATTTGGGCTGAATCTTGGAAATGGTTCAAAAATACTTTTATAAGAGACTTTCAGAGAGATTGGTTGCATATACAGGCGTTGAATGTAAGCAAGGATTACCGTAAATATAATAATGTAATTGCTTAAGGAAAGTATTTCTTGACAAAGTGCATGGTCACATAAATATAATCTGGCTGATTAAATGATATATATACATACCAGACTAGTGCTATATATATATATATATATATATATATATATATATATATATATATATATATATCTATATATGCATCTCAGCCATTCTTAATTTCAGCCTAAGGCTCTAATGCATTTTTGTGCTACTTACTAAAAAATCTAAAAAAATCTTTAGGATGATTCATGTTATCTGTCTGATGGCGGATGAGTTTAGGGTTAAGAGACAGCCCACCCTGGGGCATAGGCGTCTCAATTACCCATTCCACCCAGTGCGAATAGGATTATTATTATTATATGTCTATAACAATGTGATTTTGTTAAGGACCTCTGCTTTATGTCCTTCGCTTGTATTATTTTGTATTCTGTATGCATTATGTGATTTATGCCAGTCTATATAGATTCAGGGATACATTGGTTCTTTGCTCTGCTGCTTGAGTGTTTGAGTTATTTATGTATTTACTTATGTGTTCATGTTGGACTAGACTGGGAGTACACCAGTCATTCTTGGTACCCTCTTCTCTTTAGATCACTGCAGCTCTACTTAGTGGCTATACTTGTATCTTCTGGTTATTGTGCATTATGTTCTTTTCCCCATAGGTTTAGTTGGTGGATATTTAATCACATATATCTGGTATCGTCTTTTCATGTTTTCTCCCTTTTTTGACTAAGAAGTTCTGACATTTATCCTTTACTACTCTTTTTACCTGTATAATGATATCTAAGGATTCGGAGTGATACATTACTCTTGGTACAATTATGCTTTCAATTGCTGTTTGTTGGTACTTTGCTCCCTGTAGTTAGATTGGAATCTCTGCAGGTTTGATTGCTCATGCCTGCATTTTTGTATTTGTAGTATAAGTTACATGTCTTCTTTATGCATTATCTATTCCTTAGGTAGTATAGTTTGTATATTTATATCTTGTTAATAGGTTGCTACAGGCTAATTGCAGTTTGATCGTTTTTCGATTAGTTCTGCCTGCTGTCTATTTCTAACGTATTCTCTATGGATTGTCTCTGTATCTAAATGGCCCCTGATGGGGTGTATAGGTCTTTCTTCAACATTTTTTATTCCTGTATGCAGGCTATGTTTTTAGTTATATGTATATGTATTATTTTGTTGGTTATACTGGGTTGCTATGGGAACGACCCCGGGAGGCGCATGTCTATGACATCATCAGTGTCAATCATTTGACCTGAGCAGGCTGCTGGTCAGGTGCCCCTGGGATCACTCCTATCCTCAACCTGGGTAAGTTAAGGGAATACTGAGGGTATATAATCTTATGGATTTGATTTGCAAGCTCATCCTGATGAAAGTCTGTGATACAGACTGAAACGTTGATTTTCATTTTGAGCTAATAAAAGCTAAGTTTTATTCATTCAACTTGGAAGTCCCTGGAGTGCTATCTTGTACTTTTGGCTGTATATATGTAGGTATGTATGTATATATATATATATATATATGTATGTCCAGCAAGGAGGAGCACACTCTTCGGATTTAAAAATCAAGATTTCACTGTTTTCTTTTATTTATAAGCAGGTATTACACGATCATTAATATTTCAGTCTCAGAGACAGAAACGTTGACGATCATATAATACCTTATTAGTAAAAGAAAGTATTCAAATCTTGATTTATAAATCTCCAGAGTGTGCTTCTCTTTATTGGATAGATTATGTGTCTAGTCACAGCAATGGGGTACAGATGGAAATCTCAAACAGGAAGAGCCCCTGTTATCCTGGTAGCCTACTGCCTTTACTTGACTTATGAGTATCTTGCTTTGCCAGTGCCGAGTGTGCCCCTTCTGCACTCTACTGCCCATTACTGACATATTAACCACTGGCACTGCCCCGTTCTTACTAGTGTATGTCTACTTACCCTGTGTGAAATCCAGCACTCTTATATACATACCTATACATTTCTCTGCAGTAGTATTGCCTAGTGTTCTAGCCTGTTTTCTATTTCTTCTATTCCACCCTCATGATGGTGTATGACCAAAATATTCCAGGATCTGAAAGCCTCACATCTTTTCTTCTGGCTGCTATAGTGGAAACTTTGCTCTGGCATCTCTACCTGAGCACACCACTTGGCACCCTCACGTACAGACCTCTGTCTTCGGGGTCTAAATTATTCAGATTCTGAGGATTGTCACCCTTCAGTGCCTAAAGAACCTTAATGCAAGAGAGCTTGGAACGGTTACAATGCAGCTGCTGGAAAGGCAAAGAGCTGGTCAAGAAACCAAGTCTGCAGTTGGTCATTGTTCCTCACAGCTCTCATTAGACTGATCTATGGGATGACGAGACACAGTTTCACATAGCTCTCATGAGACTGATCTATGGGACGACGAGACACTGTTACTCAAAGCCAGGGCTGGCCTTAGGCCTATGGGTGCACTGTGCAAAAAAATTTTTCACAGCACCCCCCTCTCCCAGTCATCCCCCCTCATCCATGTATAGTGTGTGTATATGGGTGTCTGGGAATCTGGTCTGCCCCTCCACCGGGTGCAGACCATGCGTAACTGTTTCATGAGCTCAGGCACTTTCCTGTGGTAATCTGTGGCAACACTCTGATTGTCCCGAGCTAGGAAGACAGCTACTTATGGTCTGCAGTCAACAGAAGTGCCATACTGCCTCCTGAGCATTACAGAGGGGCAGACTAAGTGTGTCACATAATACTGCGAGTTTTTTTTACTTTGGAGCACTGGATTTTCCTTATTTACCTTGGCATAAAAACTCTTAGTAATGCGCTGTTTATCCATTTATCACTGAGCACCACAGCAACAAAAAACCCTCAAAGTACTATGTGGTGAATGTCAGTTTATCACAAAGCTCCACAACAATAAAACTCACAGTAATGTGTAGTGTATGAGTATGTCACTGAGTGCCACAACAATATAACTCCCAGTAATGTGCCTATTGGTGTATCACAGAGCTCCCCAACTATAAAACACAGAGTAATCTGCATTTTGTATGCCAGAGCTCCACTGTTATATGATGTATGCTATGTGTGGTTTATACAGTGTATTAACTGTGTGGGATATGTGTGTATAGGCTGTGTGTGATAATTGTGCTGGGTTTGTTGGCTGTGTGTGATGGGTATTTAATTCAGATGAAAATATGCATGTAGGCCCATGTGTGAATGCAGGTGTATATTTTTGCAGAGTCACATGCACACAGTCCCACAGTCAGATGCACATAGTTATACATGTACACTGTCAAATACAGCCACAGGTACAAAGTCACAGGCATATAGTCAAACACACTGTTACAGGCAGCCACACACATACACAGGCAGCCACACACATACACAGGTACAGAGATGCAGTTACAAACACAGTTAAATGCTGTCATACTTACCTGTTCCGGAGCTCCCCGATCTGGTGACGGCTCAGAAGCTGCACACTCTGCATGCGCATCTATTTGTACGGA